ACTGTGATCAGGATGACAGTCTTGGCAGTGTTTCTTGATCGCACGCTTTCGGTCTTGATCGGGCAAAGAAAGCAATGCAGCTTTGCAAAGAGGGCAGGACCATGCTTGCTGGTCCTGCGGCAATTCATGCGAAACTTCAAAGATAGTTATCTTGGGCCGTGCAATAGAATCTGTAGGTTTTTCGGGGTGGCGTGACTTCCAGTGGTGCCACTTACTTCGAATGACAGAGTTTAAGTTACATTTTTTGACGGGGGGGTCCCCCCCAATTTTTTTTACTTACATTTTTTGACCCCCCTGCCAAACATGAGCCTAAGGGGGTGGGGATATGACAGATCCATAGCGACCTTCAAACTTGGTCTGGCATTCTGGGCAAACCCAAACCTGGCTTTGATGCAACATTTTAATGGCTTTTTTTCCTGTCCATCTTTTTAGTCTTAACGCCTTTTGGGGGTCGGCGAAGTCTCCTGATGCCCTTTTCAAAAGCAAAAGGCTTTGAGCCAACTTTCGGAGGGTCAGGTCCAACACATTTCCTTTTAGGAGCAGGTTCGCTAACAGCAGAACTGCTTGCGGCACCTTTTCTAGAAATGGAGCTGACTGGCATTCCCTTTTTTGCGGTGGACGACTTTGGTCCAATTGGGTTTCGGTAGACATTGCTTATCAACTTGCTTATGGCTAGCGGAGGAGCTAGCTGGCAACCAACTCTTGTAGGATGCTGCATGGCTCTGGTTCGTCTTACCATCCCTTGAGTCCACAGCATACTTAACACTGGAAATGGAGCAACGGAGGAAAGCTGTTCGCTTGTGGTATGTTTTTGGCATGACCTGGGAGTGGTGGAATCACGATTTGCTTGACCCCGGACTCATGACCTGGTTCACCCTGCCATTTCCAAACTGCGATGTTTCGGGAGAAGCGGGTGGCAGCAGTGCTCAAACACGGACCATCGATCCATCTGTTGGACCGCGCCGTGGCACTAACCCATGGTTCAATATTGTTCATAGGTGACCGGTACCGGTCCATCCTCAAGTTTTTCGAACCACCGCGGGTCGGGTTTGAAATCACGTTTGACATGTTCATGTCTGGAGATGTGAGACCTCACTTGCGCACGTAGTGTGGCGCCAAGCTTTTTGCTGGCATTGATACTTTCAGTGACATCACGTGAGTCTTGGAGAGCACACGCAACTGCCAGCGATCTGTAAGCACAGTCGCCATCTCCTCCCAAATCACAAAATGAAAATCCTTCAAAGTTGGTACAGGAATCGTGGGACTTTTCTTTTTGTTTATTGGCACGCTTTTTGTCAGGAGTTGCGCCTTCAGCTTTTCCTTCAAGGGAACTGCGCTTGGCTTCAGTCATACGAACATCGCCCGTGTCTGCTTGGCTGTTGCTTTCAGCCTGTGCAGCTGCTTCATCTTCTTCCATGTCGTCTTTTTGTGTGGGAGCGACCTCGTCGCAGGACAGCACCTTTAGCGCCATTCAAACTTGCATGTTTACAGAAAGTGGACCAAATGCCAAAAAAACAAGTTTGAATCTGTTTTTTGTATAGGCTCAGGTTTTGGACTCGAAGCGTCTTGCTGGGGTCGCTCCTTGCATCACTTTTTTCGCTATTGATGTAGGTGTCTGATTTTTAAGCGCTTCTGCTGATGACGTGTCAGGGTGCCAAAGGTCCATGCACTGCTTATCGTTACATAACTACCCCACGCGGGTTTTGTCAATATCATCATGTTGTTGTATAGGGTTGTTTAATGTTGCTTTGGTTTTTGGAAAGACTTCGTTCCCGTGAATCGCTTGAAACTGCAAGTATCGTGTTTTTTGTTTTGATGGGGTATGTGCTCATACATCCCTTGTTGGAAAAAGAGGCGTGCATATATTCATCACTATTCCATACCGAACTGTATCTCCGACTTTGTTGTTGGCATTTTCTTTATTTATGTAGTCACTCTTCCTTGTCACCAGCATCTGGATTTGTTGGTATATCCTCATTTGTTTGATAATAGTGTCACTATACCCATATTTGTTAGTTACTATAACATCACATGTTTTAGCCATGATTTACTGTTCAGTAAAGCAAAGCTAATGTAAAGAACTTTATAATTATATATATATGTAACATGTATATATATGTAATATATATATATATGTAATATAATTGTGTATAATTGTGTATATATATAAATATTATTATTATACACATATTATCCCAGGTTTATACCGGTACAGTGTCACCAGCACCTTGTTTATTTTGGTGAAACGAAACGCGTGCGTTTCAGCCCTGTGTTGGTCTCCGCGGCAATCGCCAATGCTTCGGACGGACTTTGGCCGCAGAGTTTTGCTACTCCTCCGGCTGGAGCCGTAAAGGGCACTGCGGTGCAGCGAACGTTGACCCGAAGGACCCGAAACAAAGGTACAGCTATGGTTTATGTTTCTCAAAATGGGGTTATGATGGTATAGCTACATCATAGTATATAGATAGTCAATGGCTATACTAGGTGTAATGTAGTAGATAATCAATGTGAGGCCCTTGTTCGATAGCTAAGTTGGTGTAAATAAGTCCAATAACTATGGTTTATGGTATTTATAACCATAGTTACTGGGGCGAATCTAAACCAACTTATAACTGGGGGGCCTCACATTGTAGATACCATCAACATCCATCAACCAAGGAGACATGTTGCTGAATTTAGATGTAGATGTCTACATATGCGTTCAAATATGTTTGTATACTTCTTTGGAACATCTGGAATCTTACAGCTTAACTTACAACCTTTATACCAGCAATATTCAGAGACAAGTCTACGCATACACCTGTATAAATATCTACCTATGCATGTACATACAATCATATACATGTACTATCAATTACTATAAATCATATCATGATGAATATCACACATAAAGCGTCGTCAAGCCACCTCCCTTCTCTCTTCCGCCCCCGTCCATCTCGAGCCACCACTATTGGGGCCATCATCCCGATTCTGGCTTAGAATTCTGCTGATGATAAACAGGAATCATTAAGGGTTGGATTCCCACCGGGAACAACGTGTGCTGGTTGATCTTGAAGGAATTTCGTCATGGACTCGCCCATCCCTACCGTTGTTTATTGTGTGGCCAATGATGTCGCTGTAATCATCCACAATTGGTGATACACCTCCCTTTTTTCTTGGGACATCATGGGACCATATTGCCCGAATAAAGCACCATCAAACAAACCGCCACATTATATAATAATTATATTATATCCAATTGCTTATCCTGTCCATGGCTTAATTATAATAAATATAAAGCACCATCAACCAAACCTCTTCAACATTGCTCACATGAAGCCACCAGGCTTCTCCAACAGCCATCCCGCGCTTTTGCCTCTTGTTCCGCGGCAGTCGTTTTGGAACTGCGTAAACACGTTCGCGGTGCCCTACGATAAACGAGGCGCCGATACGCGCCACTTTGGTGCTCAAATCAAGGAGAGGTGGGAAACAAACAGTAGCACACCCATCAAGGTGGAGTATCTTTGCCAACATTTGGGTCATTCAAAAGGTGTACATGTTGGATGTTCACAAAACCTAGTCTTCAAACATGGAGTTTGGTTTCAATGGCTGCTGTTCTCGAGTAAAGTGGCAGCAGAACATGTTGCTTTTATCGATGAATTGATTGCAAACACTACCGGAAACCATAGTTTTACTCTGAAATACATTCATCCAGTTTATTTGTGGAATACTACTGGATAAATACATAGAACGTCCAATTCTCCAGTTTATTTGTGGAACTGAACCTGGTCAGTTCAAAGGAGTTCCACGCTGTATGGCTTGGATCACCGAAGGGGCCAGGGTAATCAATGTAGGATCCCTTGTCGATGCTGCATCAATTTCCAGCAATTCCCCGGGGACACGATAAACAGTGGATTTTCATGGATGTTCCATAGCTATTAGTGAGGCCCCCGTTCGGAATCGCTAAGTCGGTGCATAGCTAAGTCCGATTTCACTATGGTTTATGGTATTTATAAATATAGTTACTGGGGCGAATATAAACCAACTTATAACTGGAGGGCCTCCTAATTTACTGATGAAAACAACTGCAAGGTATTTGAGTGTCAAGCATCATTTCTGCGTGGAAACGAAAACGTGCCACGACAACTGTCAGCATCTCAGCTCGATCGTCGGCCTGGGAATTGATGCAGGGAGGGGAAAAAGGGTGGAACTCGAACATATCTATGTAATATTATATATACTTGTGTATGTACATGTATATAATATAATTAAATATCTATATAATTAATTAAAAAAAACAAATATATATATATATATATATATTTCTGTATCATTGAGCGGGAATGTTTCATGCTTTTGATGATGTTCTGTTTGAAGTACTTCTTGGGTTCAATTTTAACATGGCTCGGATGTCCAGATAATCTTTGGTTTTGGTTTCTGAATTGATGACCTCAACAAGACCTATGTTGGAAAAATGCCAGGAACCCAAACTGCTAAAGAAACATCCTTCGTCATTGAGAAACGGCTCGCTTTATCATACCTGGTTGGTGGTTGACCTACCATCTTGAAAAATGATGGAGTTCGTCAATGGGAAGGATGACATCCCATATATGAAATGGAAAATAAAACGTGTTTGAAACCACCAACCAGATCTATGTTTTGGACAGATAAACCTTAGTTGAAGCTTCTGACCGAAAAAAAGAGTCAGTGGCGTTCCCAATCATCATCTGAAGTAGGATTCCTCAAAAAATCCAGCACATAGATTAATTAATTATGGGGCATACCAGTCCTACTTCCATATTTCGCCCCCAAACTTTAGATTCATAATATTATGTTCGATTCACGGAATCAGGTCTTGACTTCATACTTTCTTTTGCAGATTTTCCCATCAAACCTCCCCCCAAAACAAATCATTCCAAATCTCCACCTGTTCTCCGTTCTCTTCCAAGGATCCTCCCCCAAAAGAAGGTCCAAAAACTCCGTACCTTCCCATGCCCCCCATGCCGTGCCCGGAACGCACCTCATCTTCTGCCGGCGAGGTCCACGGTTTCAGCATAGGCCAGGCCTTCGCGGATGTCCTCCTGAAGTGTCTTTACCGCCTGGCAGCGATGAAAAGAAATGGTGGATTTCTGGGCCAAAATGGAGGAAAATCGTGAAGAGTGACTTGAGCAAGAAAACAATGGGATTTATGGATATGATATATATATATATATATTATGGCTGATTTATGCTGGAGCTAAGTTGACCCACAAAAAGAATTCTATGGTTTTGGGGAAATATACAGTAACCATAGTTAATGGGGTGAAACCAACACACATCACTGGGGGCCCTACCTTGCCCCTTTTTCTGTCAGGTTTGTCAGCCCGCACAAGTAGTGGTGTGGAATACTGTGTGAATGCTGTGATTCACAAAACCAATGGTCGGAAGCAAGTTCATTTTAGAGGCCACAGTGCCATGGAGGGAATAGCCGCCCAATCGTAGTAGCCGAATGAGACATTGACTTGGTTGATGGGATTTCTGGTGTATACAGTGTACTTGCGGTTTGAATAACTAGGAGACCCTACTGTGTTATCACTGTCACTGGCTTGGCACCCCTCTTGTATCAATGTCACTGGCTTTCCCATAGTCAGTAGTCACGGCCCATCTTAGAGCCCCTCCAAAAAACTTTTAGGTGAATATTTGTTAATGCCTAGACCTAGACCCTCACCCCAGTTTAACTGGGGTGTTTATCCACCAAAAAATGGCGCGTTTTATAGCCAGTTCTTAGAGTACTTTAAGGGTCGAGGATGATCAAGAGCGATCCCCGGTTATATATAGCAAATTTAGCCAAAAGTAGCCATACCCTTAACCCAGTCATTCAACCGCGCCGAGACACCAAGTCCAAGTGTGCTTTCTCTTTGGCACTCATCTTCGGCACTGCCTTTTTCGACTTTCGACGTACACAGAAGCGTTTTTTGAACACTTTGCTATGGGCTATGGATAATCACCATGCTGAATAGTTAAAACATGGAACTAGAACTATGTTACTAGAAAGTGGCATGTCTATTGCCAGAAATGTTGGAACTATGTTAGATTGCCAGAAATGTTGGGCAATAAAAATACCACTTTTTGGAAGCCATTTTTTGATTGGCCCAGGTTTCCGCTGACCACATGGCGGCAAAAGCTGGGATTTCACCTGCAAAATATGCTCTGAACATTGGCTATCCCAAATATGGCTGAACATAGAAGCAAATAATTGACACCATCAACGATATTGATCCATACTGTACGTACATACATACATGTTATGTGTGTATATATATACACGGTGTATATTGTACAACTTACCCTCTGGTAATTTAACATACCTATTGAAAATGGTGATTTAGTTCGAGGATTGTCCCATGAAAAATGTTTTTTTTTCATAGCAAAATGTTAGTTTACCAGAGGGTATACCTTATGTAAATACTATACACAGGGTTTTCATTTGCCATCCACACATCCACATTCTGAATCATGATAGGTGGATCAGAAATTCCCCGGCCCACCAAGTGTGGGAGACCAGTGGCCCATGGGGAACAAAACATAGAGAAATTCTTTGTTTGTACACTAAGCACCTGTTGAGTTTTGGCAAATAAAAAAGTTGATTGGAATATTCCAGCGTGTCTGAAATCGATCTGGATGGTTTCAGAACGGACTCCATGCCGGCGCGACACGAAAGGGGTGTAAAGCAAGGATGTCGTGTTACATCACCGTTTCTTTTCGATTTCCCCTTGCTTATGATCTCACTCCCATGGGCCATGTTTCATCCACATCTTGTGCTCTTGCTTACATGTGTTGGTGTAGTAGCGCAGTAGCACCAACAAATATAGAAGAGTGACTTATCACTATTTGAGTAGGAATGTATGTTTCCACTCTTGGGGGGGGTTACTGTAAATATGTGCAATTTCATTCCTTGCTTATGCTCCCATGCCCATTGATCGAACCATGCGTTCTTGATTCTATTGCCCGCATCTGCAAGCACAATCCAAAAACACCTAACAATTTCCACACAAAAAGGTATCTATTAAGTCCAAAAAATCCTGACAATGAAAAAATCCAATTGCTTCAATTTCACTTGGATAATCTGATCATCCCAAATGGAAAAAGTGTTTCGAGGGTCATTCCCACTACATCTCAAGAATTCCCAAGAAGCGTCAGCATGTGTAACAAGAAAACCAGCTTAGCAAACCAAATCCCATTAAAATCCCATTCATTCCTTTAACAAAATCCTACTAAAACTCCTGGTCCCATTGTTTTGGTTTTGGCGTTTCTCCACGTTGTTTGCTGTTCCGGTGGCCGCCATCATTTGCCATCGCCTTCACTTCTTCCACGCCCTTGGGACCGAAGATCACCTGCCGGGAACTGGAAATGCATGATGGAAATGAAAAATATTTGGCACATGCTGGGCAAGTGATGGTTAAAACCCAGTTAGTATGATGATGATGATGGTGATGATGATGATGATGATGCTGCTGCTGGTGGTGGTGGTGGTTGTGGTGGTGGTGGTGGTGGTGATGGTGATGGATGGTGGTGATGCATGGTGGCGATGCATGGTGGTGATGCATGGTGGTGATGCATGGTGGCGATGCATGGTGGTGATGCATGGTGGTGATGCATGATGATGATGATTGATGGGGATTTCAACACCCCTTTTTTGGGGGGATTTGTCATTGCTATCTTTCTCCTCACCGGTGATTGTTCTGAGATTTTAACCAAACATACCGTGTCACTTCTGTGGTGAAGACATGTTCATTGTTTGTTTGTATATGTGATATGTACCGCTGTAAACCTTTGTACATATATCAAATATGATATACTTGGCAGTAACAATAGATATAAATAGACCATGTATGGACTAGCTACTTCCCCAAAAATCATCTGAACAAACATGAACAAACAACATATTCCTTTGCAAATTGAGCTGAGTTCCTACAAGAAACATCATCAGCAATGGGATTATCTAGGGTCATGCGCCATACACTTCACCAACATTTGGAAAGGAATCTCTGATAGTCTTCATTAATCTGCTCACAATCCTGGGCAGGGAGATTTTATACCACCAATTTCAGGCAAATGGGTGTTGGTGGGACATGCATCCCTCAATTCTGTCACTTCACATTATTTGGTTGCGCGCTACTTGTATTATGATCGTTTATCAGGTAAAATCAATGTAAAATCTGCGGGCAATGTGCATTCTGCTTTGTTGACGATTGGCAAACATCACATCATGATATCATGGAATACTCAAGAGAACGTTCCCCTTCCATACTCAGCCGAGCAATGCTGCAGTGATTCCACAGACTGACAACGCGACAGTAGAACCCCGGAAAAGGAAACAATCCTTTCCCATATATAATCACAAGAAACATCATCACAATGGTGCTAATACTCAAAACAGTAACAGTAATAACAACATCTTGATCATCATCTATATATCATAATCTATCATCTGGTCGGTGGTTTTAACCACCTTCAAAATATGAGTTCGTCAATGGTTGGTGGATTCTCCCATATATGAAATGGAAAAATCAAAGTCATGTTTTCCAAACCACCAACCAGATAGGGTTTACCAGATTGGGTTTAGGGGTACACGATTTTTCGACAAACCCGTTTTTTCGATTTTCAAAACACTTGAGCAAAGATCATAATCTATCTGATAGAGAGATTAATATCATAATACTCAGAATACCAAATATTATTCTATCATATTCTATCATATTGGGTATCATATCATTTCTGATATTAATATTCTATCATACACCCAATATTAAAGATATACCCAATATCATATTCTATATCAAATTTCTATCATATTGACATATCTTTCCCAAAGATCCCACGGCTGATGTGTCTCTCCATAGGATGTCGAAAAAACCATCTGCCCCCATCCGGAGTGGTCCGTCCGCGCGAGCGCCTCGGAGGAGAAGTACTCCACTCCAGGATGGATATCCTGAACGAACGATGCCGGTGCCACAGCTAAGTCCATAGTCCTCCAATGTCACCATGATTTATGGTAATTATATGGTAAATCACGATGAAATCTATGGTACTATTTCACTATAGGTGAATGGGGTCTATATAATTTATGCACCATAACTGGCCAATTTCACTATGGTAGATACGTTATGGTATATTGAACCAACGTTCGCATAACTGGGGGGTACCATCTTGGTGGATGATGCCGACTTACGATCCAGGGGATGATCCAAGAAGGCTATTGGATTTGACTGTTCTTTTTCTATGGCTGAAAGGTTTCCCATAAGTTTATAGGAATCAGATTCTTGGGAGTGGCTTATCCACTATGAAATCGTGGTTGAAGTTCAGCTTGGCATTCTAGTCTTAAAATTTCACTTTAGGATTGGAGCTGACTTTTCGGCATACAGTTTCACGCAATACTTTTGAGACTATGCCGCTGCTTTATCATAGTGCTTCTGGCACAAAGTTCCAATTGAACGCTGGTTTTGCAACGAGCCTCCTGTAAACCCTGGAAACCGATGACATGATTTGACTTTGGATTAATTCCTCAACAAGGAGGCTGAACACCATGAAAATAACCCAAGATATGATTCAACGCACATGGACACCTCCAGTTCAATTCCCAACATATCAATAGGAACATATTCAACACAGAGTTAACTCTTTTGCAATGGAGCAGCAACACGAGGTATTCAGAGTTCACGCCTACCAGAGACAGGTTGAACAGTATACAACAATAAGAATCAAATTCATAATTGAATTTTCATTGCTTATTGGAATCTACTCCTTTCGTTTCAGACAAACCCACATTACGAGTGGTGGGACACATAGTATCTGAGGATGGACATTGCGAGCCACGCTCTGGGCCCCCAGACGGTTTTCAAAAAGGCTGGCTCAGCACACCTTGCGACGTCACTGGAAGCCTCTTGGGGATGCACACGTACTTGGCGTTTCACCGTAGCAAGGTGTTGCCATATAGCCATATATCACTTATCGGATATTCCACATCTGGGCTAAAATATGATTCTCAACTATGTGAGATGCACCCCAAAGTAAGGGGATTCTTTTGGAGCGGAGTTTCATGTGCTTCACCATTTTTCATCATTCAGGTAAGTCATATATGGCAGCCTGGTAGACAACATGGTTGTCCCATGAAAACAATGAGTTACAATCAGTAATGATCACTAATAATGTCATTAGGAACCATTAAACCATTGAGTTTTTTTTCCAGGGAAACAACCGGATTTCCATATGAGCCATGGTCAATACTCACTATATGGTTGATGGTCATCCCATCCATAGTAAGGATCCAAAAATAATGGTTAGTATAAATCCCGAGTGGAACCATTGGATGACTAGCCCCGTTTTTAATGGTTATTAACCATGAGTATTGACCATAGCTCATATCAAACCAACATGACTGTGTCCCCCAAAACCTGACAACGTTACGACGTCGCCGCGAAAGTGACACCGCAGCGCAGCCGCGCCTTTCGCCGGAGAGGCCGCTGAGCACGGATTGGGCGAAACGGGCGGCAGCATAGGCCTTGACACACCAAGAAAACATAGGATACTGTTGGGGTAACTATATTTTTCTAAAATATAAATACTACAAATATACATCACATACTGCAGCATACTTTGATATTTGATATAGTGTAGTTCCTATCTAAAAAGAAGTGTTGTGGTGTGTTTATTTGCAACATCTGTATATGTATATATATATATACATGGTTGTACCGAAGTAAATCGAATATGGGATCTTCAAACATATGCCCATTCTAGTCAAGTTTCTTGGAGATTGTGTATTCTTTCTACTCCACGATGACAAAACAATGTGTAATTGGCATATCACCGAGATGTAACACTTGGACTACAAAAACAATGTTTGGATGTATCTACTGTACTATAGAACTGTTTGGGATCTAGCAGAACCAATCCCATAAAAACCCAGGATAGCTTCAAGTACTGTAAGCCATGATAGGCCCAACTATATAAGCATCCCAATGTGTATACATGCATATCTCTTTATCTAACGAACTGGATATACTTGTGGGACACAGGTCATCATCAATAGGATACTGGAATGCACCAACTTCATCGAAACCGAGAACTCTTGTGGATCCCTGGATGGCCATGGGGCAGCGCCAGCAACAGGGCCAAGTTTGACCAAAATGGGAGGTCAAACATGATTGGTAGTGGTTAATGGTAGTTAATAGTTAAACATGGTGATTAATGTATATATATATATATGGAAAATCCAGTATTCATAGACGACTTATAGATGATCTATGGATCACTTACCCTCTGGTACATGTAAAAAACATAGCGAGCCGGAAAAAACACAATTTTTGTTGGGTAAATCAACTATTTCTATGGATATGATAGCTTCAACAGCTTTGTAACAAATTACCAGAAGGTAGCATGAATTAACATGCACTAAAAAAGAAGTGAGTTAATTCAACTCAATTTACCAAACAACATGTCGTTTGTTTCAAGCAATGGTATTCCGGTATTCCCATAAACCGCCACTTTACCCATGGGAAACATGATTATGTATACATTGTTGATCTTTTTGAAAAAATATGTGTCAAACCCCTGGTACCCTGCTCATCCCAAAATACGGAACCAAGTGGCCACTAAGTTAGTAGTACAAAACCTACAATTACAAAGCAGGGCCCCAAAACCATAGCTAAATTGGTTTATGACTAGTAGTTCACTAGGGTATATGGGAATGATAACTATAAAATACTATAAATAACTATAATCAATGGGGTGTGTAAACCAGCAAACAGAACTGGAGGGCCTCAACTTGTATACACCTATAAAATAATGATATTAATTAAATTAAATGGGTCTTCTATATAACTTCCTTTTGCCATGACCCATTCTCTGGCAACCGCACCATGGAGAGCGTCGAGCTGCCTTTGCCTTCACCAAAAAAAGTGCTGTTCCACGAAGATGGGTCGGTAAGGCGAAGTACAGGGCTCGGTAAATGTCCCAAAAAAACATGATCCAACAATTGGTGATATCATCTCCAACTCCACCAAATAGTCGAATGTGATGTTGAAAATCCCGAAGGGACGTTCAAATTTACCAACCCTTGAAGGATGCTAGCACTGTGAATCGTAAATGTTGTAACTTAAATGTGGATGGAACCTTCTGCATGTAAGAATCATCATGATGTATATCTTTACATCAATTACATCTATCTGGCTGAATTTTGGGATAGTTTCCCTTAGATTCACCATGATTTTTTATGTGATGTCGCCTGGCGCGTTTCTGGAAAGTTCATCCGACTGGAAATGAATGGCAAATGACGCGATGGCAAATGAGATTTTCTCCTCTAAGATTTGGGATAGAATGTGGATGTAATTGGGATACAACCAACTATAGTAGAGTTTAAAGCTGGGATGAATGGGATAGAGTGGGGTACTTAATCAGCAACGGGTTTGACTGAAAATTGGTGATTTACCATCATTATGTGGCATTTTGAACGACACTAATGATTATAATTATAGTCCTTCGGAATTGGGAACGCAGAATGTTGAGACAAAACTCAAGTAGCTTTTTGCCGTGACCCTGCAAGTCAAATCACCCATTTTACCCACCATGGTAGTGATGATCCTCAATTAAGACCCTGGTAAAATGAATCACTGGGATTTTCTCGGCCACATGAACAGCTTGAAACTTGACTTGTATAAGTTGATGCACTATACGGTACCCCGATGCAGCAGGTGGAATAGCCTGTAATTATTGCGACTACCTGGACCCTCAAAGTATGTAAGCATGGGTACAAGTGCCACAGAAGTCTTGAGCACGTGATTCTGCTAATTTAGCATGTTGAAGTTCCAATGCCTCCGCCAAACTATGCCCTGGAAAATGTCCGATAAACAAAAAACAAGAACATGAGATTATCTTCCCCTAATTTGTCATTGATTAAATGATATATATGCCCATCCATGTTTACCCGCCGTTCAGCCATTGTGCGCCCGCTAGGCACCTTTCTTGGCATCAACCACTTCAACACCAGCATCCTGACCCATCGATGTGTTTTTTCTTATTGAGTATCGAGCCGTGCAACAAAAATAAGGGTGAGTACTGGGTATGTACATGATTGTATCGATGGAACTACATACAATTGCGTATATTCAGTTTCCAAGCGCGACTCTGGCATCTATTATATATGTATATATTCACGTATATATTTTATCTCTATATATTATTTAAATACATATACACCTACACATAGGTTCGAGGCCAGTGTAGCACCAAAGAGTCCAAAGCTGCTACCAGTGACCCACTTCAGGTATGCATGTCGTCAACGTATTCAAAACATGGTAACTAGTTCCACAACCCTGAAATGAGTCAAATGTTCCTTGCTTTTTAATTGAATAAATCACGACTAAATAACTATTTTCGCTAGCTTTTGGTGGGTTAATGGGTTAATCAAATAAATGAATGATTAGTCAGCGCGTGCATTGTATATTCCTTGCCATCCGCCCTCACGTCCAGATCCATGGGTGAACTACGAAAAAACTGTAACTCTCAACATAGCCTTGCTAGAAACAACCACCATCTGGTTATGACTAACATAGCCATAGAAAATCACATTTTTTTAATAGGTAAACCATCTATTTCTATGGGCCATCTATACCATGGCTATGTTAAATAAACAGAGGGTATCTATATTTTGCATCCACCAAAGGGCAAAACTATCTTACCGCAGTATAGATGGTGAATGTATCCCTATGTTCGCCATGTCGCAGTCGCAGTGACATTGACATCACCGGGAATCAACCAGAACTGTTCCTATGATGTCGTATGTCATCTTTTGACTCCCTCTTGGTTGACTGCTTCATGTTAAAACCGCATAAAACCGCAATTGTGGTGTGTCCGCAAACTCTGTCTGCCCTAACTTCAAGTATCTGAATATCTGCATTCATATCTGGATTCTTTGATACTCCATTCATCAAGCCCTGTTGTAAGATGTTATAAGGTTCATAGACCCCCACCTGTTCATCAACCCTCAGAAAAATGTGCCATTCTTCAGTGCCAAGTCTCTGACGAATCTTCGCCGTCGACGGCGAATCAAGGAGAATCCCACATGACTCTCGAAGTATCTCTAAGGTTGATGACATATTATCTGATTATATGGTATACTATAAATAATATACATATGTGTATATATATATATATATATAAATATATCATCATAGAATATCCATAAATCATATATCATGATATTATACATTATTATACCATCATAGAATATCCCTGAATATCCCTTTGATATGGTGATCATGCGGGTTTAGCTACTTCAAGGATATCGCTTGGTCATTTCAGCCTGGCAACTGTTGCCAAACCCCAAAGTTGTGTTGCCAATCCACAGATCGGCCCGTTGACAAACCCACGCAGAGAAAAAGGGGTGTTGAGAGTTGACCCATTTAGGGAATGGTTAAAATTTACAAACAGCACAGAACCTGTTTTTGTATATATATATATATGGGTAAATTACAATAGTTCACTAACATGAATTAAGCCATGTGGGAATGATTTCCCTTACTAACCATGATTATAGTGAGGTCGCAGTGAGGTCATTATAATTTACCTATATATATATATATATATATATCAATATTTGATACATATATATATATGTGTACATTGTCAACATGATAGACCCACATCTAGGCCCAAAAAAATCCGAAGGACATACTGCGGTAAAGCCAATAAAACATCCCAGGAACCCGCAAGGGATGGTTTGTCGCTTCACCCCAACTATTAACTATACTAGTAGTTGTCATATGTCCTAACGAACCGTTCATGAACTAAACCAACTTAGCTAACAATCAAATATAAATTCATATATATATATATATATCACTTGTTTGTATCTTTTTGCTGGTTCAACGTCCATTTTCCATGCTGAAATCCAACGACCTGCGCCACCGTGGTCTGTTGCCCACCAACGACCTGCGCCACGCCTGCACACGATGCATCAACTCCGCACATCGGGCATCGCCCAAGCGGCTCGCTGCCGCGTCCTGGGCCAAGTTGAATTAGTAGGGAAAATGGGGGTTTCACCCAGCAAAAAAGTGCTTTTATGCGATTTTCATCTGCAGATTTGTAATAGGCAAACTGGTTCACTAGACGTTTACGTTTATTGAATGTATGGATGTTTATGGCAAGTGTGAGACAAGTATTTTAGGTGTATAAAAATACAACCTTTTAAAATAATGTGGGATGCCACATTGCAGTAAACGAACCTATGGAAAACCGCCATGTGTAAATCATTTTCGGCAGAGATATGGATTTCTTTAGTTATGTTCGTTACCGAGAGGGTGCTTGGACCCCCAAAACCATCCCCAAATGCACCACTCTGGTTATTTGCAGACAAATCAAAATGAAAATAAAAAACAATGTTTAACGGTTAACATTCAACAAATGAACATGACCAAATTGTTGGGATGAAAATTTCAAATCCAATGGAAAAATTACTGGCAATTTCATCGCATGGTATCATCAAAAGAAACCTAACGGTATATCGGTATATCAACCAAATTTTGAAGAATAACCAATTTCACGCGGCGTTTTATTTTGCAATGAAAACTGGTTGGTGGTTGGGCTACATATCATATGATTTTGTCAGGAGGTCACTTCGTTTAGTTTTCAAAAACGGTTTGTGTTTGAACCACTATTCAGGTCCAAACAACATGAAAATGAACTGGGATTTGACCCCGGGCAGGATTGAATGTTGACAGATTTGCAGACCAACAACCAACAAACATTCGCAAGGTGTCGCCAAGCTCACCCTTGACACAAAATAAATGATGTGAAACACAAAACAACAATTTCCCAGGTTTTCATTCGTTTTTGAAATTGCATGCGTGTGTTTCTTGGTTGTGAGCCTAGGGGTACATGGGGAGAAACCACAAAAATCCAAATTTCGGGAAATGTCTGCAATGCGCAATATTCTTTGCACCGTTCTGAGGACGTGCGCAAGCGCTGTGTGAATCGCTTCGGTTAGACACAAATATCCCCAATGGGCATCACACAACAGCTACAAGTACGGCTATGGGGTTGAGACAGACCCTCCAAGACGCGGCCATACAGTGTTTTGAGAATCCTAGAACATCATTTTGACATGCAAAATAAAAGGAAAGCAACTTCTATTTTCATTAAAAACGACAATGTTGCTGCCCCAGGTGGTTTGGAATGCAATCCCTGTACATGGTTGGCTGCTTTCTGTCTTCCACAATGTTGTCGGTCCAAAACTTGCTGGCTTGCAAAAAAACGAAAATCATTATATGTGTGCGATTCGATTGATGGTTTCACCACCCATGCTGGGGATTCAATTCAAAAATGCCCAAGCACATGAAACATACATACCAGGATGAAACCTCTGCATCGTGTGGATAAACCCGACGTGCTCCTGCGAGAAGATTGGCACCGCACAAGGGCCGGACATGGAACCAGAATATCCGCCAACCACAGGAACCTGCAGCATACCGTGCAAGAATCGCGGCTATTCACATGCCCTTGGGGCCCTTGGGTATAGGTAGTTTGTTACATACCTATGGCAGAAATTGCCCAATTAGCTCGCCGGTTCCATGATGGTTTTCAATCGCTATGTCAAATTGCGAGATGACATCACTGAACATCGAGTTTCTGGCGCTTGCTGCCTGGCAATGCAAGACGATTGCAGTCAACCGATCGCGGTTATGTGCTGACTGTGTCTTGTAGTGTGCTGCCTGTGGATTGGTTGTCTGCAGTCTGTGCCACTTGCGCGCTTCACGAAGGAGCGCTCTGGGCTACTGGGTGCTTCAAGGCTCTTCCACCAACAGTGACAAGGGCTGAAGACACAATGGTTGAACCCACTGAGCACCAGTCTTCCATGCCAAAATGTTAGCACGTTGGGTTGCAGCTCAGTTGCAGGAAGAACGGCGTGGTGATCTTTAAGAGAATGTTACACTCAAGATTGTTTATGGCGGGCTGTGAGAGCCCGAGTGAGTTGATTGAAACTCCTGCGGGCATGCAGGAAATTTACAATTACCGAATTTTAAATATGCTGTGCGCACACACACACAGGCTTGCCAGGTTTCTTACAAGTTACTACATGAGCGAAACACAAGTGCATAAATCGTCATACGTACACATGATGTGTGCAAATGAGGGGGCCGAAGGCCAGCCCCAAACAAGCAAAGCCTGTAGGGCATTATGACTATGTATCATCCCAAAGTTGGTTGATCACAAATACATATTTGAAGTCTGTTCATTTTTGCTTCCATACAGTATACAATCTTCGGCCAAGTTCTGCCTTATCATCAACAATGACCTGTTCGCAATGCACCGCGGGAATCTAGAGCTGAATATCCGGCGATGCCTTCTCAGGGCAAACCCTTGAAAACATGGTCTACTATTGGATTTATTCCATGGGTGGTGTCGCTTTCTGGTAAGGATGAGATCTTTTGCCAAATCTGGACGATCTTAGGAAGACATGAATGGAACATGCAGGGTAATAAAACATTTTGGAAACAAGAATTGACGAATAAAGTGAACACATACATCTTGAATCTTGAGAGAGTCGGCCTGCATCGGCCAGGTGGGGGTTTTCCAGGGGACAATTGGCCAGCGTTCCAGCTATAGTTCAGGAATGTTACATCATATACCATCTGGTTATGACTAACATAGCCATGGAAAGATCCACCATTTTTAATAGGTACACCATCTATAAATGGGCCATCTATACCATGGCAAACTGTTAAATAACCAGAGGGTTCTGACAACGATGGATCCACCAAGGTGGACAGCTGAGAGCTGATACACAGCATGTCAAGCGACGCTTGCGTATACTCGGACTGCTTGGGTTGCTTCAGGTTGCGATTAGAACGTTAAACATCACCTATCCAGTAGATTCCCCATTTCTGGGGCATTTTTGGCAGTAGGACCTGCGCACGGGTACCAAACTGGAGGGGCACCCAAACCATTGACAAGCCACAAGGGGAAACATAAGAGATGTACCACAAGAAATCAAATTCATTCCAAAGGACAAGATGTAGCGACCATTGTAATAGGAAGGCTTTCTCTAATTTGTGCAAGAGGTTCCCGGAACTGTAAACATATCTGCGAAATCAGTAATTTTCGAATCTAAATAGATCACTATGAATAACTTTTAACATCTACATAACTAATATTTATTTGGATGGTTAACATCTATTTACCATCTATTTACGGCGAGGTCATTGAAATTGGCCAAAACCCAAAGGTGAAGCCGGCGAACCCCCGAAGCGATGGTCATTTTTTTCGCCCTGGAAAAAAAACCTGGGTTTTTGGGTGTTGGTAGTTACCATGGTCAACAATGGTTAATAATGGTTCAGAATGGTGATTTAATGGGATTGATACAAGGTGGTGCCCCAGTGAGCTAAATCGCTCAGATTCTAAGTCCATAAATCCAATTTCACTATGGTTTATGGTAGATATATTGACATACTTGCTATGGTTTATAAACCAACTTATAGCTGGGGGGGTACCACATTCGCCCCATCATCCGAAAAAAACCCAAAAAAACTAGGGGGTCAGTGCATCCCCATGATCTGTACTTTCTAGAGTTTTTCTTGAAGCAATGGACCTCATGAGTAGTTCAAACTCTTCGTTAACGGTGCTGTGGCCATGTGCATTTGGCCGAGAAGTTACCATGGGGATCAAGCATGGAGATCCACAGCTCCAATCTAAGTCTATCCTAGTGGTCAAACTTGGGTACAACAAAAAATGCATACAGAATTCAAAGAACATAAACCACAATCTGTGGCCCCACAGGTCTGTAATTTTGATCCATACCCAATTGTATTAGTTATATTGACATTCTTGCTAATGGCATCCCATGTTTTTTCAGGTAGGATTACATGTTTTGCCGGTGATGTTGACATTCTTGTTTGTTACATATGATAATGCCTGTTGATAAACACTCATTTTAGTTGGTGATATCCTTCTCTTTAGCAAAAAACATCATTGTCATGCCTGAAATCACCATGTTTGTTGTATTTGTTGTAATCATGTTCCACCTTATGGAAGGTATGTATCCTCACTTGAATCGTTTGCGCGCCGTTGATTAATTGTCATCCTCCCCCTCTCTATATATGAAGGGTCTATTTGAAAAACAAACCGCAAAACTTATCGGTTAGTCATCATTTCTCGCTACAAATTTGCTAGTATTTGGGTAGCGTACTCCACATTCAGACAAATCCATAATGTCTTGACTTGTCATGTGCTACTTTCTAATGCAGCAATTATGTCCGCATATTTCTGGCTATTTCATCTGACATTATCCCATTTTTGTGGCTGGTGATGTTCTCATACTCGTTGCGTCAATATTGGGAATTGGGAATTCGTAATAGACGTTACCCGAAACTTAGCCTACAAAGTGGCGGGAATGCAGCTGTTATAGTTAACCGCATTTACCTGCCTTAGTGGTTCCACACACATCTCACTCCAGTGAATTCATATTCGTTTGATCCCAAATGTTGCTGGTGGAATCGAGGTTTGTGATGGCTAAACGGCTTAAAGGCTTAACTCCCCCATTGATGCTCGGTCCTCATTACAACAGACACCTATTTCCAATTATGTTCGGATTGATTGTTTTTGAACGCGCCACAACAAGTGTCCTAAACATCCCCGATAGCTCAATGTATGTTGCTGGAAATATCCAGATATCACGTGGTTGGTTATCTTGGATTTGTTTAGTGGGCACAATAAAAAACATACCGCTAGATTCCCCTAATTGTGAATGAAACAATGAGGAAACAACAAGGACAACTTCCGCATATCCAGATTATATATCCAATTGTGCTGATAATATCTGAATTAATTACTTTACTTCGTGTGATCCCCACCATGACATTTATACATTTTCTTACTGGCAAATCTTCTGGCATTCTATCTGACATATCTTCTGACATTCTATTTGGCATTCTATCTGGCATATCTTCTGGCATATGATCTGGCATGTCTTCTGGCATATCTTCTGGCATTCTATCTGGCAAATCTTCTGGCATTCTATCTGGCATATCTTCTGGCACTCTATCTGACATATCTTCTGGCATTCAATCTGGCATTCTATCTGGCATATCTTCTGGCATATATTCTGACATATTTTCTGGCATTCTATCTGGCATCCTATCTGGCATTCTATTTGGCATTCTATCTGGCATATCTTCTGGCATATCTATCTGGCATATCTTCTGGCATATTTTCTGGCATTCTATCTGGCAAATCTTCTGGCATTCTATCTGACATTCTATTTGGCATATCTTCTGGCATATTATCTGGCAAATCTTCTGGGATCCTATTCGCATATTTTGTGGCATTCTTTCTGACATTTTATCTCGCATTCTATTTGGCATACCTTCTGGCATTCTATCAGGCATATCTTCTGACATTCTTTCTGGCATATCTTCTGACATTCTGTCTGGCATATCTTCTGACATTCTTTCTGACATTCTTTCTGGCATTCTATCTGGCATATCTTCTGACATTCTATCTGACATCTTTTCTGACATTCTTCCCGTTGAGGTCCGGCAGTGCCCACTGGGATCTGGAGCTCGCGGTGAGGTCCGGCTGTGCCCACTGGGATCTGGACTGCGAGGAGGAGGCGGCGGGTGAGGAGGCGGAGGAGGCAGAGGAGGCGGAGGAGGAGGAGAACAGCTCTGATAAAATCTAACAACCCTCACCTGGCAGGTGGGGAAAAAACTCAACTTTGGACCAACCTGAACAGATGTTTGCAATTTTACGATAGTTGCCCTGGCACTCACCATCATTGGTCTCATGCGATTCCGCACCGGCATCATGATTGTTTTAATATGTTTTAATCCTGATTCTCCCAATATTACATCATTATGTCCTCGAAATCCTCATGTTTGGTTGACATCTTTAGTCAAAATCCCCGAAAAAAACATACTTTAATTCAAACACTTGCAATGCAGTATCCCTGCTGACCATCATCTACAGTGAGGTCGGCTAGTAAGGTCGTTACAATTTGCAAACATATCTTAATTTTACTGATTATCAATTGATTGTCAGACAATTCCTAAAAACAAATTACCGCCCCTAAATCCACCAATTGTCAGAATTTTCCTATGAATCTGGGTTTGTCTGAAAATAGGGCATCCACAATTTACTGTGATCAAAAATATGAAATATAATTATCAGTTTTTTGGATCTCAAGTTAATGATTCTGCGCTATATCGGCTATATCCCATTTGAGATACACCCAAACATCATAGTGTTGGCTAGGCTATATATATATATCCTCTTAGTTCAAAAAACATCCCATTCTGGTTGCTATATACCCATTTTATCGCCGCTAAACCATCACATTCACTGTTAAAATCTCACATGTAGATGATTAAACCGCGACCCTGCAACAAAAAAACGGAACGTTGGAAACCCGGAAGCTATGTGGACAACACAATCGAACCACCATCCTGGAAACACTGTTTATCACGGTTCTATATTTTATTGTTGCGGTCACTATTTACCATAAACCCACTGTCTAATTCGGGATGATTTTGGGGTACCCACATGGCTTGGAATATCTCCACATAGGGCATATTTTACTTCAAAACCAGCAATCATGGGGATATCATGAGGATACCACATTACATGGGACTAAATTTCCCATATTCGATTTGCTACGTAAAATGTTCTATAAATTATATGGAGGATAGAATGTTAGTATATGTTAGTATTATATTTAGAATTTCTTCAAATTACTAACAACATGGGTTTCTTGGGAGTCAACCCACCACATGCAAAAACCGCGGCCTGAACCTCCTCGATGGGCACCGATGAAGCCTTGCAACGGTCGATGGGGAATCACCGGAAACCATGGTTGATCCCTTGAGTGTTTCCTCAAATGGGGGTACCCCAAAATTGATGGTTTAGAAGGGAAACCCCTACTAAAATGAATGTTTTTTGGGGTACCCTCATTTTAGGAAACCTCCAAGTGAGTTTGGCAAAAACTCTGAAATTTGGTGAGTTTACCAGCACCTATGGTGATTTTAGGAGCACAAAAATAGATGTTTACCAACCAAAAACAAATGATGACACCAAGTAAAGGGTTAACATTACCAACAAGAATTGCGCTTTTACAAGCAACGATGGGGATCTAAGCAAAAAACAACCATCACGCGAAGGAGTACGTGTTTGTTCAAGAAATGTCGGTTTGCCCAATGCAACACTGGAATTGCACCCTTCAAACAGCCGGAATCTATCCCAAGCAATTCGAGCAAGATGTATGTATGTCCACAGCCCGCATTTTCTGGAAATTCCCAACGACATTTTTTTCAGCGGGGTCTTGCAAAACTGAACCCAACAATTCGGAATCGTCAAACAAGGAGAATTGTCCATCACCTGGTCAATCTTAGATACTAATCGAATATATATATATATATATTATGCATGTGTACATGTATTTAAAAAAACAGCCATAAGCATAGAAACAATCCAACTATTAAGATAGTGATAACTTATGTTCCTATTGTGGTTAGGGTTATGTATATGGCTATATAAGATAATTCTGTATATATATTATAATATATATATATTATTTATTTTTATATATTTATACTGTACATGTGATGTGTATTCAACCTTTAGTTGGTTAGCTCAGGATACAATATATCTCCACAACCCTTCACCAAGTGGTTTCTGCCAAATCACTCCATGAATTGGCAAATAAAATGCTACGAGTATGTTCATATTTGAAAGAAACACACATCTGAAACACCACGGCAAAATTTGACCCTTGGACCATGGTGGTTACATGGTGCTTATTGGTTCGATTTCCCATTGCAACAACAAGAATGATCACAGAGACCTTCGAACCGGATATTCACTTTCCCTCATCCCTGCAACTGAGGAAGGAGGACATCTCGAAGATACTAGTCATCTGGTTTCGCCGAACAGCTGGCTGATCGGAACTGATCCCACAAGGGTGACTTGTAACGATCAAACCAGATGGAGAGCAAATTGTTCCAAGGATCGTAAGACCTGCGCATCCAACAGGAGAACAAACCACAAAAAGCAACTTGTCTGGCGCTGGCTGATGCCGGCTGAAGCGCCTGCCTGTTCTCCCAGTCCAAACGTTTCCCGTGGATCGAAAGTCCATAAACTCCACCCTCAACAAAAACGGTTATTATGTTCCCCACTCGTGCAGTGTTTTTTTTCCATGTTTGTTGGGTATATGTCCTTTGATTTTGACATGAAAAATAAAAACAAACATTGGAATTGTTGTTTGCGATTCAGATTCACACGTTCTCTTGTTCAACGCTCCGCTGGTTGATGATTTAAACCATTCCCAAAAATGTGTTCATCGTCTCAACCAATCATCCCAAATATGGTTAAACAAATTGAAACTCTAATCCCCTACTAATCTGATGATGGTTACTATAACTTAGACTATAACACTTCCATGCTTGCTGGATACTAACCATAAACTGATCCTTTTTTCCACCAAGACATCCTCGTCCGCACCTCATGTACAAATTTGTTTGCCCGCACAGTGTCCTTAGTACCAACCGCATGGAACATTTTATGGAAATATGTTCCACACAACTATTTTAGTAAACATTGTTATTGTGGACACATATTGTGGACACCTCAAATGCACAACCTCAAATGCACAGCGGGGTGTTACACACCAACAGTCGGACAGTGAGGGGTTGTTGTGCATGTATGCGATAATACATTAAAACGCACACGTTTGGCACTTTATGTGTCAGTATTTGTACAACAAATGGAATGATACAAACAAATTTGAAACTGGATATGGTGCGCAAAATGCAAAATGACAGTGAAAAATTGGGTCACACATCCGTCTGTGGAACTTCCGGACGCTGGTCATTATCACAATCCACCAAATGAAATGGGTTAAAATGGTTGGTTCATGGCAGCTCTGATCACATGGGCCTCGATAACCCACCAATATATCAAAGGTAATAAAGCCCGCTGTAATCAACCAAGGGTAGAATTTTTGAACTCTGAGCATGTTTGCGTTTGAAAGAGTGTCAGCCGTGATGCACGCACGATGCCACATGCGTTGCTGAGGGTTGCGTTTGCCAAGTTAACGTGCGAAATGAGCTGGTGGTCGGTATTGCAGAATATGTTTCATCCACAACCTGTTGAGGAACCCATAATAATTGACATGCCTATGCTTAGCCAGCCAAACTCCAGGCATCTAAAAATTTGAATGTTCTGCACAAAAGAGCTGTGCAAGTCACGCTCCCCACGAGTCGCATCTTTTAACACTGGAGGGCTAAAGGCTACAGGTATCACATTTTCGCCTCTTGAGAATCAAAACAATGGCGTTAGGTTTGTAGTGGGACTTATGGCCGGAGGCCTTGTAATATATGACAATGCGATGTTTTTGCCTTTGTTTGAAACTGTGTCTAGACTTGTCGTGGTTTGAGTTTGGCAAAATATATGTCAGGGGAAATTACCGAGCAGCATGTTGGGGATCACTCGAAATATTTTGTTCCGAAATCTGCTAAAGAGGTTTTGCATATTAACCATGTTGGCTGGGTCCAAGAAGGTTTGCGAACGTCTTGCCGCGCGAACGCGTCTGGCTGTGTTGGCTCCAAGCCTAGTTTTTACTATCTCGTTGGGCAACTTTAACCAGGTATGCGGGAAACAAACTTTCCACACGGGCACACTAGGTAGCAGACCCGCGTGGACGCAACTGGCTGTGTTGGCTCGGGACAGGTTTCCTAACAAACACCAATTTAAACAAAACTTGGACGCGCTCCAAACTCCAATTTTTTTTCCTCAACTCCTGGCTGCGAAGATATGCCGCACTCTTTGATGCAGGAACGCCACTACTTTCTGCCACTCGCAGCATGCGACCGCTTTGTTTTCTAAAGAATCGGGTAAATTAATCAATTCTAGTTTTTACTCTCTCTCCTCACTCCTGGAGATTTTGCTATCCCCTCGCCCCAGGAGAAGCTTGACATTGCTGGCGTGTGGACGGAAACTTCACCATACATAACATCAAGGAAGCTATGATCAAAAGGCAGGCTACATCAAAAATAAAAATAAAACAGTTAGGTCTTGGACTGCTAAGTATGTAAAAGCAAGCTTTCTCAATCCTTAACACATATCCCGCCCAATGGTCAAGCTGCATCAAGAAAATCTGGTGTCACTCGCTGCAAAAACACTGCTCAGTATGACTAAGCATTGGTGCAAACTGTTAAACTGTTTTGGAGATCGTTTTCCGGAGCAGGTCCGGCAACAAACAACATCAAACAACTGCGACATTGACAAACAATAAAGCGGGGTCAACTGAAACCGGGCAATGCATCTATGCCTGCCCATGGGCTCATGCGAGACGCGGGCAATGTGAAAAAAATCGGCCAAGACTCCAAAGAAGTGATGCCGATGATCTTCTGTGCGTTCAAGCCCGCCTTTTCATAGAGCCTGCAAACACGACTCTGATGCCTGTGGCACCTGGGCCTTTTTTTGAAGCGGGCTGGTGCGATGCCACTAAACTATAATGAAAAGGGCACTGTGCATGTGGATGCTGCGTCATGCGCAGAAGACAGGGATAATAGGGTTGCGCTACTGAGAAGCGAACATTTCACCACTTCCAGTTCTTTCGCGCTAATTCAATCAGCAACACCAGGAGCCAGCCTTGCCAATGCTGGCACCACAGAATTGAGCCTTAGCGGCCATTGCCAAGCCGATCCTGTCGTCCCAACAGCGCGTGGCGGCCCCAGCCCTGACACTCACACTGCCATGAACTTCATGAACCTTGTCCCATTTGTCTCAGATCATGGCGACCCTTGCATCATCAGAGCGCGATGTTCTTTATTGAACCGAAAGTCCGATGACGTCGGACGCGGGGTTACCGGTTTAGAAGTAACAAATATGATCGGCATCTGTTCCCATCCCCACACGCAGATATATATATATATATATTTATATTTATAGCCCAGAAATGTCATCAAAAAGGCTCTACCAGTGCGTGTGTACTTCGGAGTTGGATAAAAAAAGAAACACGTGCACAATGTACAGTATGTCAGGTCCTGTAAAAATGCGAACATGAGAGATTTCTAATCCTTTTTCGGGACTTCTACATTTAAGATCATTTCAATATTAGAAACACTTGGCATTTGGTCACACGCTCGAAAGAGGATCCTTAGATCCGCAGGATTCTCTTCTGCGCAGGTCCCGAGAATCTTACGGATGGCGCCATGTCGCATGCGTGCCTGCTTAAACCACTGCCTAAACTGACTAAATGTCAGAATTGGCAATGTCATATATAACATTTTATAACCTGCAACATAAATATTGATGTATAAAGTATGCAGCAGCGAAAACCTGCTTTGATGCTGAAACATGGACTTGAAATCTATATAACTTGGATTAACTTGGGCTGTTTCATTGAATGTTGGTTACTACTTTAGAAGCAAATGACATCACCGTTTAGGCGGTACTCACCAAAATAACCGGCCCAAGGTGAATAAACGATATCTTGGATTATCTTGGCATATCTTGGCATTAACCTATTTAAGCATATTTAAGCTAGAACATTAAATTTACAGGTGAGTCATCAGGCAAGTGTCAAAGGGCACACTTCTTTCATAGGAAACCACTCGTAACCTGTCCGGTCTCAGCGACACAGGTATTGCTCAAGCCCCTAATGCCAGATGTTTTTTTTACATGTAAAAAACATATTGTTTACGTGTAGAAAAACACCTCATGCCAAGATTTCCACAAGGACTTTTATGTCGACGTACCTGGCGTCTCGATTGAATCTATCCCATGTCTGGCACCATTTCCTCTAGATTCCATTTTACAGCGGCATCCCCCATACCCTCCAGTAAATCAACATAAACATGGAAAACACATCATTTTAAGATTTAGATCATTTTTCTCAAAGGAATGGGCTTTTCATACTGTATACATGTACATGTACAATATTGTTTACTGGACGATTGTGACATCCCCAAACTTCTTCGTAAATAACACACGTTAATATTCCATGAAGCTGGTAATCGTATGGCCATGATATCCCCACTGCCACTACCAATCATATCACCATGAACAAAATATATCTCCATGGGAATTATGGATCCCTGATTCACCGGCAGAGGTCTTGATTCATACACGGTTCGGAAATGTTGGGAAGCTTCAGTAGCTCCTTTGCTCCTCGTTAATAGATAACCATAGCTCCAAAACGCTCCCTCCTATCCACTGGATAGTCATCAATGTTGTCCTTTTAGATATTGTCCACAAGTGAAACTTAGAATGACCACCAGGTTTCCAAACATTAATCATCATACACTTAGAATGACGTTTCTATAAAATCAATGGGTTGATTTGGTATGTTACCTATCATCTACCGATCGTTTTACGAGGGGAGACCATAGTATCTTCATCCACCAAACAGTGGCAAAAAGGACGTCTACGGGTAAAAAATAAAAAACAGCTCTACCTTGATGGCATTTAATGACATGTATCAAATCCACATCTTATATCCGTATGATATAGTCATATCCCCATGGTAACTCTGGATTTTCCTATGATATCTTGTCAAATTATGTTCACCAATCTGAAACTTGCGGCCATTTGTGGATGATAATATAATTCCAGTGAGGGTCGCAATCAGGTTGTTATATTTCATATCTATGCATCTGGGTGTAATACTAAAGATTGGGAAATGGATTATCAGTTCTTTGGTATTATACATGTTTATTAATCAATATAATATGAGCTATCTATATTAAAATGCTCATCATGTCATGTTAATCAACAAAAAACATGTTCAAACAAAACATAAATTGCCTATATATGCCTATATTGTATAAACCAATGGAATTGGTAAACGTATGACAAAGGATTCAGTCACAATACAGGCCATACTATCACTGGTTCATTTGCTAGGCGCCCTGACATGCAGAACTGACGTTCTTTTGGACATGCAAAGACATTGATGAACCAACAGTGGTGATATTGCGCTTTCAAAACCCTCAGTTCTAGTACCCTCGGGTAATTTGACAGTTTGCTATTGAAAATGGCCATAGAAATAGTTGATTTTCCCATTAAAAATGATGACTTTCCATAGCAAATTGTGAGTTTACCAGAGGGTAACCTGTTTTTATTCCCCAAGTGATGTCCACGGATTTCCCATTCAGATGCCCAACAAAAACAAAAAAAACTCAGCATTTAGATGCAAGTGATCCAAGCAGAAAATCACCAGGACAGTCCAGAAAATATCTTGGTAAATCCGACCATAATCTTATGATATCACCGCGTTTTCCCAATAGAAAATATCCCATTCTATAAATCACAAAACAAAAATCCCAGAGAAATCCCCACAGTGCAGAAAGCAAATCACCATTACAAATACCCAAAAGATCCCAAAAGTCCATCGAAATTCCCAGAAATCCCCATCATATTCCCTAAATTGTCAATCCCCATCAAGTAAATACCCATCATAAATCCCCATCCATCCGTATTACACAGTCCAGAAAGTAACTCCCCATGATTCAAATCTATCATTATAAATCTCCAAATATTAAATCAGAAAAGGGATGCTCATTGATTTTCAGGGTCTATGTTGGTTTGCCAAAGGCTAATCCCCAAATTGAAGGTCATCCCCAGGTTCAACCCCAAGAAACGGATTCACGATCAACCCCACGATGGCATCAGGACAATGCACAGCGCAGGCCTCTGATCTGAGGGGCACCCAGATACGTACCAGCTGCGGAATCGCGGTGTTGAGACAAACAAGTTGAGAAATAAAGGTTCAAATAGTAACCTCCAAACAGATAGTCAGATAGAATATAGAAAAAAACATGTAGACCTATTTGAACCGGATCTATGTTGTTTGTCTTTTTGGGGATTGCTATAGGCATTTCTCTGATTCTTGTTGGACGCATGGGATTCAGCTGACGGGAAACCCAGAGGGTGGCTTTGCCATCCAAATGTCCTTGGGTACTCTGTCTTTTGCCACGCAAAATTCTCTGAAACTGGTTTGATCTGGTTTTTGCCAATGAGAAAAATGGAAGAAAAAGCATCTCTATGGTCACAGTTGGCAGTTCGTAGATGCTAATTGCTCCTGCCAAGCCAATTATTACCCATTGTTGCCCATTACTGTACAAAACGCGTCCTTTCTGGATAACATCTCGATGACATAGACATATCATTGATATCATAGTTAGTTATTTCAGTTCTATCCCATTAGATCCCGAAAAATATCTCCATGTACAGATGACGTTTCTGTTAAAACCAAAATTTTCCATAGACATGGTCTGGTTGGTGGTTTGAACCTCTCTGAAAAATATGAGTTCGTCAGATTGGATCATCATCCCAACTATTGGGGAAAATAAAAAATATTCCAAACCACCAACCAGTGGTTGATTACATCCCCATGTGTATTGTCCGATCGCATCAAGCCCAGGGATCAATCATCTTATCCGGAAGGGACACTGCCCAGCCTCCACGATGCTTTTGGCGATGTTGACGTTGATCTTCAGCAATTCACTGCAGGTGGGAATGGGGTTTGGCATCGACGAAAACAAAGACCTATTGTGACTTGTTGCTGGCTTCAACCCCCTGAAAAAGTAGTCGTTGGAAATCATCATGTCAGGCTGAAATGAAACGTATAGTGAAAACCCTACCCGTTGTCTGGAGTGCTGCCCCATCCTATACTAATATGGGATTACCATATTTTCAGAGAAATCCACATCCAGCAAGTGATTTTCTCATTGTTTCAATGGAGATAAACTTTGGCATCGAGCAGGATCTCCCCACACAAAAACTCTGTGATATAACCCATTTATAAATGGGATAACAATGGATGACCCACCACTACAATGTGAGGCCCCCCAGTTATAAGTTGGTTTATAAGCCCCAGTAACTATAGTTATAAATACCATCAACCATAGTTATTGGACTTATTTGCACCAACTTAGCTATCGAACGGGGGCCTCACATTGTAAGTGGGGACTTACCGGGCCAAAAAAAACATTTCCAAAGGTGGGGTGATCCTGCACGTGATGAACGTACGTTCCCAAAGTTGGCTTCCCCGTCAGCCAACAAAACATTGTTGTGAAATATCATGTTATATGATTGTTCATAGAAGAAACAACATGGTTAACTCCAAGACTCTAGAAACATCTGGAATATAGAAACTTTTGAACAAACAAATTAACAACAAGCTGGGTGTTTGGTGCTTATGGCCAAAACAAGACACTAAGACACAAGACGAAACTTGAAACCCTTCACCCACGGGAACGCATGCGGGCCTCTTGCTGCGACCCTTGCTAGGAACGCCCACAGGAACCAACACCAGAGAGCAGCCTGCTACAAGTCGGGCCCCCGAGCAGCTAAGTTGGTGCAACTCCGGTAACTATGGCAACTTGGTAACTATGGATGTTTATGGTATATTAAAATTCATACAGGATGGGGCCCTTCAGTTGTTGGTTTGCAACCCCATCTAAATATAAACATACTTGTAAGTATTATACACTATTGCTATTGTAGTTATAAACCAACTTAGCTAACTATGGGGCCCCATCCTGTATACATATAATATATATATATATATTATATAGCTTTAACTATTGAATACGGGGTCTACAAACTAACTTATAACTGGGGGCCCGCCTTGTAGTGTCTTTTTGCATCTGAAATGCAAACTCCCTTCAAAGACCTCCAAGCGACTTCAACAATGTACAATCAAAAAGACATTTCGACATCCTTTGGCACTGGCGTTGTCAGTGACTATTTCTGGCTTGATATTTTAAGTATTTCTCCTAAATATATTGGAAAACCATGGAACACCTATAATTACGGCAAGACAAACCTATAAAGTACATCAAATATATTGAGAAATAATTCATCAGAATTTCGAAGTGTCTACCTCAAAAGTCGGTATGTTCCTGCTGCTGATCTGGAAACCCATGAAAAGTGGAATCAATGCGAGCCACTTCCCAAAGCATCCGATTGACAAAACATGAGCCCCGATCTACAGCAAAGGTTGCAAGTTCAACTCCTATAGGACCCCATAGGACTCCCACAATCATTGGAGCCGCAGTTCGTGGACATTCAGTATTGAGAGATCATCCAAACCAGCTCTCGCTGACTTACCACATACTCGACGCTTCCTTTTTCTTCCTTTCACACGCAATTGCACGGCAAAGCTCGCGCACCATTCCGAAGCATAGATAGCTACTGCATGTATAATTACTGTATCTCATATATTTGTGCCATGTTGAGTCATGTCTGCAACTTTCATCATTGGACTTGCAGATTGGGGAGAACAACTGTCCATCAGGCAAAACAACTCGAAAATGTTCGAAGCCCACACTCAGTTTGCGCGCAAAACGTTTGCACACGTCCAAAGCCAGGTTCGACCCAAGAGCCCTGAAGCACAAGACCTCCTGCCCAGCCAGACTGAAGCATTTCAACAACATCTCATCTCCTTCTCTAGCAAGACTTAGCTGCACTTCCCGGTCTCTACCGACTGACATGCGATCCCAAATGTAGCTCTGACTGGGTGCCAAATGTGGAATGTTGCATTGACCACAGTCATTTTCACTGCAGCAGACAACGCAGCCATCACTTCGCAAAAGTACTGTATGACTATTAAGCCTGCAGCAACCTGGGTGTATGACAATCCCTCAGCCAAGGGTGGGATGTCGCATTGTCCTTTGTCATTCAATCCGCACGCCACGACACTTCCATCACTTCATAGAAGCACTGTATGAAGATAGCCTGCAGAAACCTGGGTGTATCGTGTCCAAACCGCAAGCTACAGCTTTTCCATGCTTTTCCGTCATGGTTCAGAAACACTGGATGAGCCCAGCCTGCAGCAATCTGACGACATGAACGGAAGGGTGGAATTTGGCATTGTTTCGCACCAATGTCTCCACAAAACACAACACGGCCATCACTTTGGAGGACTCTCAGCAGTCAGCGTCTTTCCAGCTTCCGTCTCTTCGGGTACCACAACTTCAATCCTCTCTCCTTCTGGGGATTCCACTTCCAAGACGTCTCCAGCAAAAAGATCTTCAGGCATCACTACTGATAGCAGTGGAGGGGAATCTGACGGCTTTTCAGGAGGGAGGTCTCCTTGGCTTCTTTCCTTTGTGTCTTGTTTGACTGGCTCCTCTGATCGTACTTTGTCTTGCTTGGGGGCCGCCCCACCGAAATCCATCTGCGTCTGCTTGCTTTTTGGACTCTCAAAAGTCAGCGTCTTCCAGCTTCCGTGTCTTCGGGTACCACAACTTCAATCCTCTCTCCTTCTGGGGATTTCACTTCCAAGACGTCCCCGGCACCCGTGGTGTGATGCCAGCTGCAGAAATCAGGATGTAGGACCGTAGGACTGTTCAAACCTCAAAGGTTGAAGATCGCACTGTCCAAAGGTGGAAGATCGCACTGTCCACCTCGATTATCTCCGAAAGCTATCGCAGAACCATCGTTTTTAAGAAGCACTGTATGACGATGGCCTGCAGAAACCTGGGTGTACATCATGCCATCATCCAAGGGCGGAATGGAGCATTGTTCATGGTCACTATTATTTCCAAAAGCAACAGCACAACCATCATTTCGCAGAAGCACCGTGTGACTCTGCCTGCAGAAACCATTGCCTCTCTTGGGCCAAATCTCTGAAGTTGTCACAAGATCCCAACGATGACAGTCACAGGACTCTTTACACCCACCCACTATATTCAGAGACTGAGACTCCGCCCCAGCAAATGACATAGCTGGGCAGCTACAAAATACTGACCCTACGGGTGAAACTGAACAACAACTCGTAGAGAATATATATATATACATATATATATACATATATATATACATATATATATACATATATATATATATATACATATATATACATATATATATATACACACATAAATAAAAACAATAAATAAATAAATAAAATAAAAAATATGTATATATACATATACATGTATGTTTACATGTATAAATATAATGTATACACATATATCATATGTATATATATATATTTATGTACGTGTGCAAGTGTGTGTTGTGTTGTTGGTTCAATAATCCCTCTTTCAGTGTTGTTTTCATTCCAATCTATCTGGATAAAATTATCGAACCAGAAATACGCAAATAATAGGAATGATGCCCCCTTCACGCCATCATGTATAGTTTATGTTGAGGTCGTTCTTTTGTTGCTATGATGTATATCCAAATAAGTCTTCATGTTGGCTGAGTCAATTTATAAAATCCGATTCAAATCCCTGTTTGGGATGATGAAATTATGTTAAATCACTTAAATCTTATGCCATCTCATCCCCATCTCAGTTGACTTTGCCTAAAAACAATAGTACCTCTAAATCGTTTCATAATCATTTTCCCTATTATTTCATGACCATCTAGAAGGTATATAGCAACAAAAGAATCAAAAAGATAGAAAAGTGTTTCCAGGATGTTGTAGATGGTAATTATGTCAATTATGTCCTTCAAATTTCCAGGTATTCCTACTTTGCGTCATCTTTTTGGGGTTACTTACTATACCCACTTTTTGGCTCAAAAAGCCCCGAAAATTCCCAGCCTTTGAGGCATTGCTCCAAGTGATCCACGGGCTTCTGCGTAGTGTCCAAGGAGTACGCCTTCGAAACTGCCGTGCAGGGAAGGCCAAGGATAGGTATACCATGGTATACCCTCTGGGAAACTAACAGTTAACTATTGAAAATGGCCATGGAACTAGATATTTATAGGATTTTACAGTTGATTTAGCTATTAAAAAAGGTGATGTTCCACAAAAAACTGTTGGTTTAACATAGGGTAAGTTGGTTTGGAACTATAGCCTAGACTATAGCTTACGTGTTGTTCATTCATGGACGACCACATATGGTCATATCCACAATTGGATGGGTGAAACAAACTTATAACTTGGGGTTCCCCTTCTGTAGGATTTGACATTTTTAGGGCGGGACGGAATGCTTGGTGGATAGAATTTTGACGACTTTATGGGAAGGCTATCGAGCATCTTGAATTTTCATTTGGGAGAAGCAGGAACTATAATTTGGGAAGAGAAACCGATTCATAGGTTTCAATCTATACTTTAGATTAGACCAGGGCAAATATCTCATCACATAAAACCACCATATTTTTCTTGCAATCCCAAAACAAATCCCAGCATCCATTAACATCCATTACCCTTGGAAATAAGATAGGGCCAGGGTGAATCTATATATAATAAGATTAAGATATGGATTTAATGTGAACTGAGGGATAGGACCCAACGGGTAAAATCCCGTTGACATCGTATTAAAATCCCATTAACATCCATCATCCATCACATTACCATCCTATGAAAATCTCGTTGACATTCATCCAAATGGGTCCTACCCCTTGGGGCCCGGCGCTCCAAAAACAGGCCCGGGGCCCGCCTTCACGCGGCAGGGCCGTTCGATGTGTCCCAGATCTGCGCCAATGCCTAAAGCGAAAGCGATTCGTGTCGGCGACAAAAGGCTGGGGATTTCTCGCCCCAGACATGGAGGTTTTTTCGTTCGCTGGGATTTTTTCATCGAAAATAGGGGATGACTGGGATGACAAATCATGATCCGTAAAAGAATTGCTAATCCCAGCATTACCGTGTATGTATATATATATATATATTAATGATACTTATTATTATTCAATATATACTAGATCATCATGATACTTGGCTAATCCAGTATATATATATATATTGAATGAGAATAAGCATCATCATTACTGTTATCATGATTGGACAGCCTCCAAACGGGTATGTTCAAACAAATGAAGATGTCAAAGCAACGAACTTGGGGGATGGCGAACACCGAAGCATATAAAATAATGGGACGTCATGGGATATTATCAAAATCTGATCTGAGTGTATATGATAGGATATGATATAGTAATCAGCAATGTGGAATCAATAGGCGGGTCCAGAAATGGTAATATATTCGGTGAATTTCCATGGAAGATCTAACCAACAACAGTGATAACATGTGATAACGTCCAGGTAGCCCTTGTGGGACCACAATGGGATATATAACGAATAATATGAATATGATATTTGCGTTGTCCAGACATGGTATAAGAAATTGTCCAAGTTTTGCAGGAAACGTAGGTTGCAAAATCCTTTATCCTTTGGAAATTGGGGTGCCTTATTTTCAGATAAACCATGGTAAACCCAAATGCTGGCTAGCGAATTCCATTTCAAAATATTTCAGCAAAACATGTCACCAGAGGCTACCTGCATTGACGTCTCCCATAGGAGATGTAGAAATGAGAGAGGCCACAAGTAGATTGTAAGCGAATCATTACAAAATGCCTATGCATTAGCAACTTCTGCTCAATGGCCAAATCTAATAGAAGAAAACAACAACAACAACAACAACAACAACAACAACAAGACACATCAACAATTTAACAAAAAATGTACACCCACATAATCCTACTTATATGTTTTATATGTTTTGATAATGCTTACATATCATGAATATTACTGGTTGGTGGCTTCAACCCCTTTGAAAAATATGAGTTCGTCAGTTGGGATGATGACATTCCCAACTCAATGGAAAGTCAAAAAATTCCATGGTTCCAAACCACCAACCATATTTATTAATCACCATATTTGTCCATATTATGTACATATCATGAACGATGCACTTCCCGGATGAACCTTCGGCCGGGACCATGGCAATGGTCAGGTCATAGACCTCGCTTTTAGCCACGAGCAATGGAGTAAGATACGAATACCCTCTGGTTATGTCAAACATAGCTATTATAAATGGCCCATTGATAGTTGATTTGCCTAAAAATGGTGATTTTCCATAGTTATGTTAGTTTACCAGAGGGTAAATACGAATGTATCAATGATATCAATGGGTTAGACACGCATAAAAGTAGACATGTATATTCCACATGATATAAACACATATAAACACAATGTGTGTGTGTATTTATACGTATACATTATGGAAATATGATGGATATGTAGCTGTAGTGCGTCCATATGGTGTCCGTATGTGAGGATATGCGAGGGACATCATGTGGATATGCGCTCTACACTACAAGCCAATTCTATACTGAAGCTTGCAAAAATAATCAAGTAGGCTATAACCAGGGGACATGAAGATAATAACAAATATAAACAATTTCTTGAGATCACAGCCTTCAGACTATCCAATGGAAGGCTTCGGCTTTAGCCAGGCGTCACAGTCCCAATGGCCAATGGCAATCACAACCAATCCCATCGCTAGTCACTTGCGATCATCACAGACATGTAGGGCTGCTCCAAACACCCGAGGTACAAGGGGGGTAAATAAAGGTAAAATTGGTCATTTACCCCTCTTGTGGCTATCATTTACCAATAGGTTGGATAAAACCCGACATGTGTGGACAAGAAACAGCACTTAAAGCCGTTTCAACAAACAACCAGTTAATGTCATTGGATGTCAAAATAATATGTCAAACAAGTTGCAATCTTCGCGGTTAATCTAGGAGCAAAAGAGCATTTTTTGCAGAACTTGTGCGATCTTGGCAACATGTGACTACTCTCGAACCCTGTCCTCAGAAAAGAAATCGCATGACTAGACTTTAAATATTGCAATGGTCCTGTTTTATTTGTGGGAGTGAAAGTATAGTGAGAATTAAGTAGTACGATCCCTGATTGTTGGCATTGTATCGTGATCTCCACCGGCAAACACCTGCAGAAATTGTCAGGGAACTGAAGATGCACGTGTTCATGGGGTTTAGCCTTCTGCCCAAAGGTCACCCCCCTCAATGATAGCTGGTGAAGATTCGCCCTTGAGACTAGTAATCATAGTGAAAACATGATTCCAGCTGAGAAAAGATGTAATATTAATTACCATATATTAATGTATTCCATGTATTACATATATTAATTATATATATAATTAATTACAATCAAATATAACCATGAGTAGTTAATATATTAATTACAGTTCGTTACTCAGTTCCTATTAGTGACTGTTGGCAGTTAAGATTTGCTCCTTTTTTCCAGCAAACGAACTCTTGGGGGCGGATATTGCAGGGTTGGTTGTGAAATGTTGCAAACCAACCTCATGACACCGCTCTATCCTTTCATAGAGCACACAAAGCTGACACGTTACCCAAAACAAGGCAGATCTGCAAGGCATCAACTGAACGCTATCCATCAGCGATTGAAGGCACAGAGCAAAGACTGTACCATGTGCAGTCCCTAATTACCAATCAAACTTGGCAATAGACAACAAAAGCAAAATCCGTGGTAAGATAGCCAAATCAGCAACGTGCAGCCGTTGCGAAGCATTTCACCAACTGGGCCAACATCCATAAATTCTGGCTTTCAATCCCAAATGGATGACAGACCTATATCCCAAATGCTCCATGTATGGAATATTTACGTAAATGTACCATACATGGAGCATATGGGTATACTTTTAGCTGGACGTGCTAGGATTTGAATCGTGAACGTTTAGGAACACCGACAGCTCCATGATATTCCTGCGGCCCAAAAACCGACAACTCCCAGACTCGAGGATCCATGGCCATCAGAAGGCATAGCCTCGGTGTTTGAGAAAGTGATGCCTAGGAGGCTGGTGATGATGTTTGGTGCTGGGCTTAAAACCTGGATAAGGATGATGATGATGATTACTATTATTTTGATGATCATCGTCTCCATTATCTCAACTTGGTAAGAATGAACATCACTTGACATAAAAGTAAGGCAACAGCTCAGGTCTTATCTATCGGAGCTATACACCATAAAATGTACTGAAAACAAACGCACTCCCACATATACACACGCACACACACCACTCTAGGCATTTTCAGCGAGACTGGACAAGTGACTCGCAGGTCAATCAAATATACTAAGACAGAGGCAACATACAGATGCACATATACACGACACACATTCATACTCTACACATATATCATATATATATATATAAAAATCATATATATATATATATCTATATATATCTATATATATATATCATATCTGTGTGTATGTGTGTATGTGTGTGTATCATGCCTAGAGGGACAGAAACGATTTCGCAGGCGACGCGCCAGCAGAATGTTCTAACGCTACAGTCTGAGTTGCTGGCGGTTGCCCGATGCCACCAGCACCTCCACAAACACAGACCTGGCACCAGCGAGGGCAACGAGTTTCTCGTTTGGGCCCCTGTTTGAAGTGGTTTCGGATGGTCTTTGTGCTAGCATAAGAAGGGTTTACTGATCGGGAATGCATAAACAATCATATCGAAGCATATCGAACGTATTCTTCGATTGCGATATAAACCAGCTGACACGTCAGCAGTAAGTAGATCAATTGGGATCAACCGAATTTTGATCATAACAATTCACCAGCCTGAAACAAGGTAAATCTTGGTGCTTTCAGTCCATTGCTAACCATTGCCTATGTTGATGTGGTGATGATGCTATTTTCACGTTTCCAGAATACTGGTTTCGACCCCATGAAACCTATTAATTAGTCAACTGGGATCATCATCCGAAACATAGGGGGGGAAAATACACAATATGTTGGCCAACATTCTGATCATTTTCATGTTTTTTTAATCACAATATTCAATTGTCGTGATTAGGTTTCCCAGTTTCCCACTGAAAAACCCAGCATGTTTGGGTGATTCTGGGGTCCCCACACTCAGAAGCCTCGATTCTGATCGATTCTGATCGATAAATCGTTGATGGTGACAGGTCTTTCAGGTCCCTTTCAGGACTTTTCAGGTCCACAGCCCTCCAGACTGGCACCTTGAAGCCCTTCTTGGGCGTCGCCAGTTTTTTTCTCTTGGCGCCTAGGCAACTGTGACATCTGATGAACCATCCCAAGTTGTGGAAGTTTGATGGCTAATGACGTAAACCTAAGAATAGTAACCTCCCCAACAACAGTAGTCGTTGTTGATATTGGCTCCTACCCTAAATATATATATATATTATATTATATATATAGCCTTCTCTGGGATTCTTTGTGATAGCTCCACAGCGATTCTACCCCGGAGAACTGGGGGAACACTTGAGATTTAGTGGGAAAAGACTTGGATCTGAACGGAAAAACATGTGGGGAATGCCCACACAAATATGATGATTACCTACATGCCAAGGATGATGGCCTCATGGTCGCAGTGTGCAACCAACATTCGCCATGATTTTATCACCTTTGTTTGCACTTCAAATGTGTATGCAAGATTGTGTATGCAGGTTCAATCCGTTCCGAAGTTTTGCTTGATTTTGCGCCTTTAGTAATATTTTACTCCATGAAGTCTCTTTCTTTTAAAAATAGATCATATTTATCAACTTTCTATTTTGAATAGTCTGCCGGTATTCTGCCCATATTTCCATCTGTTTCCCATATTTTTCTATTGTCCACACTGTGTTCCACATTCGGCTGGATAAGCGACCTTCGGGCTTTCCCAGCTCGCCATGTCTGATGACACCGGAGTGTAATTCACCATTCACTGTCATTTGGTCTTGATTGTTGATTGTGTGAATCCAAATATGTATTATATATATATCATCATCATCATCATCATCATCATCATGGTACTATGGTACTATGTATCTATATATATATATATCATATATATATACCATTATATATATCAATTCATCCGTTATATGGTACTATCATCATCATAGTCCACCATAGTCCACCATGGTCCACCATGGTCCAGCGTTGAAACTCAGCATCGGACCGCCTTTCAGGCCTGCGCCACGTTGACGGATGGTTTTTTCGTTCACGCAACTTGGGATTTGGGGATGGTTCCTGGCTGGTTGGTGGTATACCTACTTGGTGGCTCATCCAAGTTATTAAGTGGATAAATAAAAACTGTTATAAGTGAACTAACCCTACTTAGCCCAGTTACAACCAGGGGTATAACCTACTTACTAAGTGGGGGTGAACCACCAAGTACCCCTCTGAAAAATGATGGAGTGAAAGTCAGTTGGGATGATGAAATTCCCAACTGAATGGAAAAATAACACATGTTCCAAATCACCAACCAGTCATGAACTAACATGAACTAACTATTCTACATGCTCCATGGTGCTGGAATATGCACTCCAACATTTACCCGAACAAAATCACCCAGTTTTGTAGGTAAATATACCATACATGGAGCATATGGGTATTCTAAATGACAATTAAATGACTATTCTGACAAGACGGATGGGCTGAAACCATGGTGAAATCGACCCGATGACCTCGCTGAACATCTGCATTTACCTTACAAACATGGTCAACTGGGATATTTACAGAACGCCTGAAAAGGACAAAGTCAGAAAATTCTGGCTGAATTGTAGACATATCATATATATATATACACAGTGTATATATATATTTGTATAGAAACCACCAAAAAATGGCTGAAGTAGGTCATATTCCCGATTCATGGCAGGTGAATGGATTGAACAGAATTGATTTGTAGTACACAATTTATCTGGCTGCTTAGTCATAATTCGGAAACCTGAAACATTTATCTGGCCGTTGAGGCATGATCCCCCAGCAACTTCCCATCCAGGAGAGGGTGAAGTTGTGGTGAGTGTTTTTTTCTTTATCGTTTACCCACATCTATTGCCAATCTTCCATTATCCGTCTGCGTAGTTTTTGTGTCAGAATAGGTCAATCTCATAAACTCCAATGTCAAAGAAGTTCTGGTGTTGACGATGGGTTGATATATGCAATCCTTAGATTGAATAAAGAGCCAGTAACCTCCTCAGTAGGTATGCAGCATCGCAAAAAGCCAAGGTGAAACCATAGACTCCATGTTGGGGCTATCACATAATATTGGACACACAATATACTGGTTGGTGGTTTCAACCCCTCTGAAAAATGTTAGTCAGTTGGGATGATTATTCCCAATATATGGAACAATAAAAGATGTTCCAAACCACCAACCAGTAAAGATTGGCATAGTGGAAAATTGGCAATCCCTGAAATGGACATTGCCACAAGTGTGCAATGCTCAAATTATCTGCATCATATCATCATCCATGACGTTTCAAATACCTTTCAACTGGAGATATATCCAACCAAAGTTCCAGTTATTGCAGTTATTAAACAACTACTTATTAATTACCCTCTGGTAAATTAACAGTTCGACCCTGGCAGTCATCGGGGTTGGAAGATTAGTTTCCATTAAAACTAGGCTATTTTCAGGGTCCACGTTGTCGGTACACTAGCTTGGCACGAACGTCTCCTGATCAACTATCATGTTGGGAAAAACTTAGTAGCTCCTTGGCTCCCCATTTAGGAATATAACATAATTGTGAATATCGTATATGTATAAATATATATATGTACATATAGATGTATGTAATAGCCCAACAATTGAGCAGTGTTCAAAAGCCTCTGCCATTCCATTCGACTGATAAAAATTGATAATAAGGATTCCCCAAAAAATGATTATGATAGTCTCCAATATTTCGAATAGTAAAATTCCCTATAGCTATTGAACATGGCCATTTATAGTGAGTTTTCCCATTAAAAAAAAAATTCCCATTAAAAATGGTGATTTTCCATAGCTATGTTAGTTTACCAGAGGGTATCTCAATCAACAAACACGGGTTTGTTTCACACTGCTCGCTGCTCGAATGACCACAGAGGTTTCCGTTTCGTCATGGGGGATCCCAAGTCACCAACGGGCTTTCAATACGAGTCGTCATGGTGATGACGACTGATGATTTAGGGCTACCCCCATTTTCCGAAATGGAAGCCCCCATTCGCGGTTGATCATTTTAAGGATCTTTCATTATATAATATAATATATATATAGATCCCGTTCACATCCCATTGATATCCCACTATATGCCATTAGATATCCATATAGAAACTCATCTAATGCATAGTTTGCACCGAATTGCTATTTTCATGGGACACGATAATCCACAGTAAACTCATTTATATTCCATTCATATCCCATTAATATATCCATTGATGGGATATCCCAATTGGTATATTATATCCCATTATATGTCCGAAATACCATTGGCATATAATATCCCTGATATTCCACTAATATCCCAGTATATGTCACTAGATATCCATAGATTATATATGCCTATATGCCTCCCATCATATTCCACTAAATGATATCCCATTAATATCCAGTTTGATATCCTATTAATGGGATATACTATAATTATTTATTCCCGAGAGCGTCTGAGCGCAGGGTTCTTCCAATAGTCGGGGTCTGTAAAACATCTTCTCATCTTAACATCTTCTCATCTTCTCACCTTTACATCTTCTCATCTTCACATCTTCTCATCTTCTCATCCTCACATCTTCTCCTCTGCGCATCTTCTCATCCCTCACATCTTCACATCCTCTCATCTTCTCATCCTCAGGTCTTCTCATCTGCTCAACTTCACATCTTCTCATCTTCTCATCTGCTAATCTTCACATCTTCACATATTCACATCTTCACATATTCACATCCTCACATTTTCACATCTTCTCATTCTCATCTTCTCATCTTCACATCTTCTCATTTTCACATCTGCTCATCTTCACATCTTCTCATCTTCTCACCTGCTCATCTTGACATCTTCACATATGCACATCTTCACATCTTCACATCTTCACATATTCACATGCTTACATCTTCACATCTTCTCATCTTCACATCTTCTCAGCTTCACATCTTCTCATCTTCACATCTTCTTATCTTCACATCTTCTCATCTTCACATCTTCTCATCTTCACATCTTCTCATCTTCACATCTTCTCATCTTCACATCTTCTCATCCTCACATCTTCTCCTCTTACCCTCTTGCCCTCTTGCCCTCTCCTTCTTTTCTATTTCTCTCTTGAAGGCGGGGGCAGGGGCAGTGCCAACGAGACGGCACGAAACGCAACCCTTTCGCACGAAATGAGGTTCGATCGCCAAAAACAGGTGTAAAATTGCGATTTCTACTTGTCCGGCGCAACCCTTTCGCACGAAACGAGGTTCGATCGCCAAAAACTGTTGTAAAATTGCGATTTGCAAGTCGTCCCGCGGGTTCGATCGTCAAAAACTGAAGTAAAATTGCGATTTCAACTTGTCCCGCGCAACCCTTTCGCGCGAAATGAGGTTCGATCGCCAAAAACTGAAGTAAAATTGCGATTTCTACTTGTCCCGCGCAACCCTTTCGCACGAAACGAGGTTCGATCGCCAAAAACTGTTGTAAAATTGCGATTTCTACTTGTCCCGCGCAACCCTTTCGCGCGAAATGAGGTTCGATCGCCAAAAACTGAGGTAAAATTGCGATTTCTACTTGTCCTGCGCAACCTTTTCGCACGAAACGGGGTTCGATCGCCAAAAACTGAGGGAGGTAAAAATGCGATTTCCATGTTATCCGGCGAAGTATGGAAAAGCTTTTGTGTGTAAAAGCGTCTGTGTGTAAAAGCTTCTGTGTGTAAAACCCTCTGCGTGTAAAAGTCTCTGTGTGTAAAAGCTTCTGTGTGTAAAAGCGTCTGTGTGTAAACGCGTCTGTGTGTAAAAGCGTCTGTGTGTAAAAGCTTGTGGGTAAAAGCTTCTGTGGGTAAAAACTTTTGTGTGTAAAAGCGTCTGTGTAAAAGCAACTGTGTGATACTGTGTGTAAAAGCGTCTGTGTGTAAAACTGTCTGTGTGTAAAAGCGCCTGTGTGTAAAAGTGTCTGTGTGTAAAAGTGCCTGTGTGTACAAGCGTCTGTGTGTAAAAGTGTCTGTGTGTAAAAGCTTCTGTGTGAAAAAGCTTCTGTGTGTAAAAGCTTTTGTGTGTAAAAGCGTCTGTGTGTAAAAGCTTCTGTGTGTAAAAGTGTTTGCGATGCAAACTATTGTCTTGTACTTGTGCTATATTGTCTTGATACTCCTCATCTCGTCTGCCTATAACACATCTTTAATATATTGTTTTGTAATATGGTGTCTCCATACTAACAAGAGAAGACCCTGCTCCTCTACGCTCTCGGGCCATCCGTCGTCTAGTATTTATGCATAATTATTCCATTAGATATCCGAAATATAGATATCCATTGATGGGATATCCCATTTATTCCCACCTGATATCCACAGATGCCATGCCAATTTCTATTTTGGACGCAAACAAATCGCTCCGAACCTGGCCTTCCAAGCAGCTACAGCGGGCTCCCATGGCACCCGCGCCGCGGCGCCGCGGCGGAGCCTGAAGTTTGGCGGAGCAAATATCGAGTATAGGCAGTATATTGTGGTTCATCTGATATAATATGATATATAAATAGAGAATTGTACTAAACTCCTATAATTTTAGATAATTGATGATAATTGTAGTCTGGTTGGTGGTATACCTACCCCTCTGAACAATATGAAAGTCAGCTGGGATTATTATTCCCATATACTATGAAAAAATAAAACATGTTCCAAATCACCAACCAAATTTAGATATAGGTTAGTCCTATCTAATATGACTATTTTATATGAGATCACGTTTCATTTTTTTAAAGCGACACTTTAATGTTGACAAATGATTGTCATGGTGTGATCCGCATGGAGATTCTAGCCCATCCGTCCGAAAATAAAACAGATGGTGGAAATATGTTGAACACACCCCACCAGCCAGCCATGGTGGGTATTTGAGAGAAACATCAGTGACAGTGGCTGACCGAGCACTGAAAAGGTCGAGGGTATTCATGGTTCTTCCATCCATTCTGATAATTTCCGCGTAACTTCGGGCAATTGTTCAATCCGAAAAAACAACAACACAGGGATTCAACCACCTCCAATAAGCCATGGTCAAGATTTGCCATACTAGTTGTTGATGGTTCATGAGCCCTCAACAAGTCGGACGATTTTTTCTACACCTGTGAAGGGGTTGGTGCCCACGAAACCTTGCTGCCCATCACTGACTGCTGGGTGAACGTGAATCCAAAATGTGAAAATGTTCCAACCAGAACCTCAACCTTGTCGGAAGACAACACACATATGCTAATGGTTGGACATATGGATACAACCAGATTGTGAAGAACAGTATACAAAATGTCTATATGTGAAAATGTGTTTCTTCGGATGGATATCTTCGGGTTGTGAAGAACAGTATGCTGTAGCTACATGCCCGATCCAGCCGTACCTTCGGTAGTATGACTGGGGGATCCGGGGATGAATCTTTTGTCAGGCAGTATCTACTGTAGATCCAGAGGGAGCTGGGAGTCCAGTCCGTTGTCCTGAGACTTATATTTCTAAATGCACAAAACTCGTGTATAACTAATGGTTGGATTTTCAACACATATATTGAAAGTATATTGAAAGTTGTTGATTTGAAGAAACATCTTCGAAACACAAGTGGATAGGAGACAGGAGATACCACGGCATGCAGGTACAACTTGCATTCACGCTTCTTGGGAGTGATGTGCCATATGGCAGCTGGTTCATTATAGTACTGTACCTCCTGTGTAGATTTTGCGGAAACATGCGAAACCCAAAATCTGTGGAAATTGGGAGTGGAGAAACACAACTGGGCTGCTCTGTCAGGCCACGTCAACCAAAACTCTGAAAGTGATTTGAGAGATGCGTAGAGAATCAAGAATCATACGGACGTCTGTATACCGTATAACCCCCAAAAAACAAACACAAATGACACTTTTATCCGTACATCGATGATTTGTTGATGGGGGTGGTTGGTTTTGTTTTCCCATACTTTTTCAGACATCAGACCCAACTAGTAGTATTTGGGGGTGGAGTTCCAATTCCAAGTGGTTGTAAAACCACAGTAGGGCTTCCCAACTTATTGCGGTTATCACCATGGTTATACCATGTTGCACCCATTAATAAGCCCTGGCCCTTTCGCACTTTTTGATCATTCCGGGTAGTCGTTTCTGCCAAGCGAGACAACGGGAGATTCGCCCGAGCTGAGATCCGCCCAAGAGTTTCGGCGGGATTCGTAGGCCATGCTGACTGTTGGATTCAAAACGCAAGGTGCCAATTTTGGATTCATAGGGGCTGCAATGATAAAAAGAAAACATCACAGGAGTGACAAAGCTTTTTTTTTGATCCTTAGTTCCGACATGTTGTACAACTACCATTTACAAACACATAGCCAGGGCGTGCATTGGGGTTCTATGGGGGTACCCCCATCATCCTAAATGATGCCAAAATGATGTAAACAACTGTTGGGTTTTTGATGGTTTTGGTGGATCCCCAAATACTTGACATATTTTGCGAGTGAAGTTGGGTGATTTCTTTTAACTAACACTGGCTTGGCTTGGTGGTTGAGCCATCCCCGTGCCTACTGAGCTAGTGGTCAAGATCATCATGCTATCTTTTTGGGGTGGCTAAAATGAACCACGAAGCAAATAATGTTAGGACCCGGGTCATCGAGCAAATAAAGTTAGGACCCCTTTGACTGGGTTTACAGGCAACAGCCTACAAGGTGAGTTGGTTTATGGATGCTTATGGATGCTTATGGTAGATTACAGTTCATCAGTTTGTAAACCAACATAACTGGGGGACCCTCACCTCGTATGGGACTCAGAGCCAGCTCCAAGGCGGAAAAACTGCCCTTGAGGTAGCACAGCTGTATCCATAGATGCCAGAAACCACCCTCAAATACAAGATGCAAACCGCACCTAACTAACTTAACCATACTTAAACCATGAGTTTTTCCAGTTTGCACTGACACATACTAGTGCAACTCTCATTGTTGACCACGAAAGCGCACGCCTTGCCTCACGACGGACCTCATCGCTGGCCAACTTTGTTTTCGCTTGCGGCGGAGATCCCAAAATGCCGCGAGCATCCGCGTGTTCCGCGAAAGATTCAAAGACTCAGGTTTCTCTGGGCTATTCCTGTGGCAGTTCTAGTTTGAATGTTGGTGTGTTTTGCAGAGGCCGCAACTGCACTGTGGAAAAACAATGCTACTCAGTAGATTCAATTGATAGACATAGTTTTCCCCAATAAACGGCTTTGTCCAAAAATGCGGTATACAGTATGCGCAATTTCTGGCCATTCTAATAGAGAACCCCCTGAATTTCAGGGTCATTTCCACATGCCTCCCTCTACTAAGGCCTAATAGGGTTTCTTGCTAAGGTTCAGTATGATCCCTGGTACATATGCACATTTGGGTATTCAGTTGCCAAAAAATGTTACTTTAAACTGTACGGTTTTGGGGCGTTATTGGTGTGAGGTCTCTTCCAACATTTTGTGATCAACAATTCTTGAATAATCTAAATGTATCTAAATGTCAAGGGGCTTTGCCTGTCCCCAAACTCGTGCATGTTTCCTGCTTGGTAAGACAAGGCTACGGCGCGGTTAGCGACCCGGGGTAACTCATGGATTTTTCATGATGCTTCGTTCACCAAATCATGGTATTTGCAAGGTTTTGTAAAAACGTGATAAAAACGTCAAGTCGTAGTTACACTGGGGCCAATTACCAAAAGTGCGTTTCGTGTGGAAAGTTCATCGATTTTCAACACGTATGTTGGACAGATTCAGTCACACCTGATCACCAGTCATTCAGCAAAACTCATTCTTCAACTCACCCTTGCAAGTTGTTCAGCGTCGACGCTTCTTGGCCAGCTTTCCCAGTTCCTTCCACAGGTTATGACCTGAGTTGTGTCAGTACATGAAGGCTTGAATCTGGTCCAGCAAGTTAACATGAACCTTAACATACCCACCCCACCCCAACCGAGTGACGTGACGTCAGTTGTGCATGTGACGCAAGTTAACATGAACGTTAACATCCCCACCCCACCCCAACCCAGTGACGTGACGTCAGTTGTGCATGTGACGCAAGTTAACATGAACGTAAACACCCCCACCCCACCCCAACCTAGTGACGTGACGTCAGTTGTGCAAGTGATGCAAGTTAACATGAACGTTAACATCCCCACCCCAACCCAACCTAGTGACGTGACGTCAGTTGTGCATGTGACGCAAGTTAACATGAACGTTAACATCCCCACCCCACCCCTTGCAGTGACGTGACGTCAGTTGTGCATGTGACGCAAGTTAACATGAACGTAAACATCCCCACCCCAACCCAACCCAGTGACGGGACGTCAGTTGTGCATGTGACGCAAGTTAACATGAACGTTAACATCCCCACCCCACCCCAACCCAGTGACGTGACGTCAGTTGTGCATGTGACGCAAGTTAACATGAACGTTAACATCCCCACCCCACCCCAACCCAGTGACGTGACGTCAGTTGTGCATGTGACGCAAGTTAACATGAACGTTCACATCCCCACCCCAACCCAACCTAGTGACGTGACGTCAGTTGTGCATGTGACGCAAGTTAACATGAACGTTAACATACCCATCCCAACCCAACCTAGTGACGTGACGTCAGTTGTGCATGTGACGCAAGTTGAACGTTAACATCCCCACCCCAACCCAACCCAGTGACGTGACGTCAGTTGTGCATGTGACGCAAGTTAACATGAACGTTAACATCCCCACCCCACCCCAACCCAGTGACGTGACGTCAGTTGCGCATGCATCAATTTCAGGAGCAACTTTCATCCTATCAGCATGACAAAAACGCAGGGGTCGTTAATGGCGCCGTAGGCAAAAACAACACTGTAAAATAATTCTTCTTTCAACAAAGCTTGTCTATATATGGTGGCGAGGAGGTTTCTGTCCTAGATTCTGTCCCAACGTTTTGGTGATATGAACATACAGTATATGTAATGGCAACATCGGATTAATCACCCACCCCCAGGTAGGTCAGTCGGACCTTCTGGCTAGTTTTCTTGACCACCCCTTAATAATAAGCAACTCTGAACCATAAAAATTTGGATATGGCTTACGCCAATTAGATCTTAATAGAATTCCATTGGATTTGTTAAAATCTCATGGATCAGAAAGGTGGTTGATTAATCAGGGGCAAACCGTGGTTATTATTAATGGGGGGCATGGGCTCATGGGGGGTACCCTTTGGGAGCTATCCAAACTGATGATTTTTAAAAATATTTTACTTAGAAATCGATCATTTGGGGAATAGTTGTTTTTTGAAATTTTCAATGATCAACTTAAACCTTAAGTATAGCAATGATGATAAAGGTAGAAAACAGTGGGAAATAAATTGAATTGGAAATAAAAATTGTTGGATAAAAAAATGGATTTCAGCACAGGGGGTTGATTAATCATGTCCCAGCCAAACGGTTTATTAATCCTGGGG